GGGAGAAGAGATGGGATTTGAATTTACATCATAGGACTCTTGTCTGAAGATTTACGATGTACGGAGTAGTACTTGTAGCCTGAGTGCTGATCGGCGCAGGGGTTCGACGCAGCCAAGAGAAGAGCAGGTCAGTGAGACCTTGCAGTCTACGAGTACTCATTACTACCATTATATACATAGTTATGCCAGTGCAGAGAGGTGTATCAGGGAGGAAGACCAGTTAGAAACGAAGTCTAGGGCTGACCACCAGAAAGCGAACATTGACGGTCCACATCGAATTGAACAGAATCATTAAAACTTTCCCTATTTTTTAAGCAATGTGGACTGAATAATTTACCCGGGTCTTGGACAATCACGTTGTCGGATCAGAGATTTGTAGACGTTGAACCCTAGGGCAGAATGGAGACCACCACCACATCCAGAACCAAAGAACCGAAGGAGGGGCAGATTAGAGAAGGGTAAGGCCTGTTCCAAACATGCCACGCGACACAAACACCAAACAGAAGTTGCGACAAGGTCCATAATCCAAATAATCCATAATATGCCGGGTAGACCAAGCGGTGCCGACTCCCGCGATGCCGCGCGTAGCCCGAGTCCTGGACGGGACTCCGGCCGACACGCCGAAAAAGGGTTCGAGAACACCGAGGCAGCTTCTCCGATAAGTGTGTCCCCATTCGAGAACAAAATTTTACGGGATCTGTCTTATTTTGATTAGTCCTGCGACCGAGGCTTTTTTTCACGCACTGATGTAGAGGTCTATGATGTCGTTGTGTGTGCCGGGAACCGAGTCCAATAATTGGAATTGATCCAATGAGCCCCCGGGGGGGCGAGAAATGGGGCACTTGCACTGAGTCGGTGTCGGTGGTCGGTGTCGGTGTCGGCGTCGGTGAAAATCCCTTTTTACCTTTTTGTCTTACGAAAATGTCAGAGCAGAGGCAAAGCACAGACATGATGATTGCTTACGGGTGTGCCCCCGAATTGGAGAATGGAATGACGATATGTCCGCACTACCCTTGTGTCTAGTACTGTAGATAAGTCCGCACTATGTAGTACTTCCTGTACGGAGTATGCACCCAAGATCTGAAAACAACTAGTCCATACCATACAAACGCCCCGTCTCACTTACTGTAGTTACCGGGTAAAAAGGCACATCGAGGTAAAAAAACGAACGTCAACGCGCGATTTTTTTCCCTTCCTTGCCCGACTCGAGCCGGTGACCGCTAGCCACGTTCATCTCCTTGCATCCTGCAGCAGGAGCAGCAGGATGTGCATACTCCATACGGAGAAGGGAAAGTCTTACAGTTCAACAGCCATGCATGCACCGCCGATTGGATCCAGATCCAGTCCAGTGCAGTCCAGTCACGGCAACGCGGGAGAATCCCATTCGCGAACCTTAATGCAGGCGTGGGAACCGCGTGGAAAGTCTATACTAGACTCCGTGCGACTAGTTAGTATACTACGGAGCACGGCGACGGTGACTGTAAACTTCCCGTAGGCTCCCCGTGGATATCATTCGACTTGACTCGACAGTGACCGGTAAGAACCTGGGGGAAATCGTGAGAACGGACGCTGGGATCTCTTGGCGAACCTGGCGCGGACGTTGAAAGGGGTCTAGTGGGTTTAGTTTGGGAATAGTACTACTGTAATTGATGCTAGCGGGCTTTTCTACGGGTACCTGGAATATGTATGGATATGTTCCAAGGTTATGGTCATGACAATGGCAATGTATACTGGTAATACATGATGTTGTTGTGATGGGCGGAGTGTGCAGAGTGTGCAGACTCGGAGGGTATTGTCTTGCGACAACTGGCACTAACCGTCCGCGGAGGTCTTTGAAAGGACGCTATTCTAGTCTCGAGTTGGAGGGGAGAGGCATAAAATGCCTCAAAAAGACTAACCCTGATCAGGCGCGCGAGAAGAGGGACCGGGGCCAGCAGCGGTAGCGTAAATTGGCGATGTGGCAGGGCGATCGTCTAGTGGGGAATGGGCCCCGGTGAGGGTTTGATTCAGATGGCGGGTCCATTAGGAAGGGTGTGATTGCTGGAAATTGAAGGAAATTGGGGGGCATTCCCCATCGACTAGCCCACTACTGTAGGTACACGGGTGCGCGGTGAAGCCAAGCTGCACATCATGTAGCTCTCGTACAGAGTACGAGTATGGAGTATGAGATGGCCATTGGAAGCTAGGAAGTAGCCATTGAGTGTTGTGAGTGAGGGTGTACTTAGTAGAGGGTGTCTACAATGCATAGTAGTATAGTATATACTCCGTAGTACCTGTAGGTATATACTGTAGTACTGTAGTAGTATAATGTACTGTAGTAACTCGAAAGGACGGCAGGTGCTTCCTGCTTCTCCCGGCGCGGCAGAATCGGCAGAGTTTCGTGACTAAGCCAGTTTAACACGCCGCTATTGGCTGGAAGCTCCCTGGTGAGTCTAACCACTTCAGGCACTTCGTTCCTATCCGGCACCGCGTACGGCACCTTACCGTACGATACACTCATCACTATCCCCCAAAACGATCAAATGCGACCAGCCTGGGAAAAGCGTCGGCGGAAAACGGCATGATAAGCTGGCCATGACGTGAGAGTTTCACTCTTATCGGGGCACGAGGACGGAGTACGGAGTACGAGGGCTAACCTGAGGGCTAACCTGAGGCTAACCTGAGGAAGCCAAGGAACATTCCAGGGCCCGCGGAGAGCCCGACAAAAGACCATGGTTGCGGTACTCTTGCATAAAATACGAAAGAATTTTCATTTGGTACACTTTGATGTACTTTGGTACACTTTGGTACACTCTGGTATACTCCATACACTTCACCTGCAACCACGGAACGCAAGTGCCAGTCGAAGCCTTCTAGAAAACATCGAGAAGACTTGCGCACACGCACGGGCTCCACTCGCCACGAAGGGAAATTCGCCCAGGGCGGATGGCCGTGCCGGTCGGCCACTGGTGGTCGAATGTGGTGGTGTGTCTCTGTTCTCTGGGGCTCCACTGGGGTAAGAGAATTTACTATGGAGCAGGGCGAAAAATCTCGCACTTGGTCCGACATGATCGAGATTTCTCCGCGCGCCGTGACCGTGGCCCATGGCCATGGCCATTGTTCTCGGTCTTCACCGCATGAAAAAAGAAAGAAGAGGAATTTTAAAAAAAAATACTGAAAATTCAAAATTCAAACTGAGTGGCAATCGAATTGCATTGTGAGGCATTTTGTTGCAGTGTCTGTGCCCTTGCCCTTACTCTTTTCCCCAGACCAACGACATCAGCGGCGCGATCGCCCAAGGCTGAAAATTGAATCAGATCCTTCCACGCGAGTGACGTGAAAGATGAGGGAGTGGCAAGCGCTACCATTGGAGTGACAGTCAAAGATATCTTCCGCCTCCGTACTAGTCTTCTGCCACTGGAAGTGAGGTATATCGTGGAAGCAGTACTAGTAGTAGACAGTACTCGATAGACACTGGCAGTAGATCGGCAATATACACATCAACTTGAACGGCCCGGCCTAGATCAAACTTGAACAATCTACCTGCTACAAAGCACGAAACACGAGTTACCGTAGAAACAACCTCAAAGTAAAGACAATAAAGCAGTTCCACGGGTCATCGTGGAACACAGGACAGGGCACCAATTCGCGAAACACCGTGTCCCATCGCCGACTCTTCCTCCCGACAAGCGCCCTGTCGCGAAGTCGGTCTCCATCGAAGCTCTCCACTCCTGCAACCCTAGAAACGACAAGATCCTTGGGAGGGTCCGCCTGCATATTTCACACACCTAATAGTAATGCCAGACAACTCCATAGAACCACGACTCCAAGTGAAATCCAAGAGCTGTGGCACCCCGTTCCCCGAATGCGTCTTTTCTTGCCCTTCCTTATCCCCACTCCACTACGCTACTCTACGCTACGCTACGCTCCAGTCATGCGACGCCATTCCCTATCCTGTCGTAGCGTCGTACCCTCCAACCCGCTCTCGTAAAGAGAACTTGAAAAGAGAGACCCCCGACGATGCGCCCGACCCCAACCCCCCCCCCTACTCGTATGGAGTGCCCCATCCTTCATCCCACCATCCATCCCACCAGGATCCTCCAGACCACAGGATTCGCGACACGGGCCGGTCTTGGCTGACGTGCAAAGGGATCAAAGGAGAGATTTTGTACGGAGTAGGGTAACGGATATGGCGTAGAGAAAGCGGGAGTCCCCCGGAATGATCGCACAGCACGGGGTCATTGGGGGACGAAGCGTTGTGAACGCGTGCCGTTTCTCCATAATGCAATTGAGATTGTAATTTCCAGCCGCCCTGAGCCTGAGCGAATGTACGAAGTACGGAGTACTTCTATTCTTAACTACGTACGTACTGTAGGTTGGTGGTGGACTAGGCCCTGATAGACACACCGGTTGGGTTAGATAGGATGGGGAATGAACTGGAGATGAAGGGGAGGTGAGGCAAAGGCAAAAGGTAAAGACGGGTAATTTCGCTGGGGGTTTGATTGATTTGGGAGATGATCGGGGCCCCTCGGGGCCCCTCTTTCTTCAATTGTTTGATGGAGATAGATATGGGGGATGGGATGGGATGGGATGGGGCTGCTGCTTCTGGGTTCCCTTTGTCTTGACCGACCGACGGATTGAGAGAGTTCAGGGGAAGTGAAAATTCAATTCCATTACGGAGTACCAAGTACCATTCCTATTACTGTTCAAACGCCTTCAATTGGTTGTGCCGTTGATGCCAACCGCGGAAAGCGCCGGGGGTGACAGCAGTGAGCAGTACTGGACTTACACTGTGTGGAAGTATGTACTTTGTACTTTGTCGACTAGTACTGCGAGTAGTATACGAAAGCGAAGCAGTATCACATCCCGACCGATCTAGTTCTAGTTCTCGCCTCCCTCAGTACGGGGTACCCCGTACGGCTTCCCGGCGAGAATGTGCAGAAGTACTGTAGATGTAGATGTAGGTGCTTGACCACTACAGACTCACCATTGATCCTTCAATCCCGGGGTGCGCCCTACAAATGAAGTTGGTGGCTAGGATCGTCCAATGGCGGAAGGTGACGGTGCCAGCGAAGCCTGGAGATCGTGACGCCTTATACGCATCGAGTATCCCGGGAAAAGCTTGCTACCGGGATTATTCCCTGGTCGCGGTGATCAGCGCAGAGCTAGGATGTTGCGACAGTACTCCGTAAGTTGCTACGAGTATGTAATTCACGTTCCCGTTGAGGTTGAGGTTGACAGGTGCTTCGCCGTTCACCATGTTGTTCCTCGGCCAAGTTCCACCATGTGTATCACATCACGCCAGCCCTACTAACCCAGCAGAGCAGTCGCCGAGCGATGGGGGCCAGAGAGTAGAGAGGACAGGCCAGGACCAGGCCAGGGCCAGAAGGGAGACGATCAGCGAGAGAATGACCTCATTGTCGTTGGGGCGGACATTGATTCGATGCATGCCGAGACTAAGATGGCGTTAGTGAGCGGGGGCCTGCTGGGGGGAAATGACCAGTGAGGAAGGGGGAATTAAATGACGCTGTGGTGGTCCCCCACGAGGAGAGAGAGAGGAGCGAGGCAGGAAGATCGAGTCGAAGAGGGCAGCTGGGGCGAGGATGTGGCATTAAGCGGGTTGTGGGAGAGGAAGGACGTGTTGATAAGACGGAGGCTTGGTGAACAAATGAGCAAAAAGAGTGACCTAATGGTATTGTGTATGTATGGTATGGTATCAAGGATACGCGGCATGTTGTCGCCGCTTGCGGTGCCCCTGGCAATTGGGCAATTGGGGCAATCGGGTAGCACGGAGCAGAGATTTAGCCATGGCATCTACAATTAGGGTAGTGTAGTGTAGTATAGTATAGTATAGTTGACTCGATGACTAGGTAGGAGTAGATGAGTAGAGAATAGAGAGTAGAGTAGAGATTTATCCATTGCCACAGGTTGTAGAGTACATACATACTTGCTATACGCGTAGATTCCTGGAATTCTCCGGCATGCCATGCCATGCCATCCTTACCTTGATCTGATACAATCTTATGCAATCTTACTCTGGACGAGTATGAATACCTTATCTTCTACTCTATTGTGTACAATGCTTCAAATCTGAATAGTTAATAGTAGTTCACAATAATGTTCCTATGCACAGTACTACGAGTATTCTCTCTAGACAAAAATCGCGCATAGTCAAGCCGAGAGCAGATGGGCCGCACTCGGCAAGCTAGTACCAGTCGTACCGATAACTCGGCAGTGTGCCGTGCTACGCAGTGCAGTACTGAGTACTCACAGTACTCACAGTACTCACAGAAATAAAATACAGTAATATACGGTACCACCCATACACTCTCCCCCCAGCAACCAGGTACGCGACAAGCTCTGGTGGGTTTTCCATCAACACGGACCCAGAACAATAATCTCCCTTTCCTCTTTCAGAGTTTTTTTTCTTTTATTTTTTCTTTTCATTTTTCATTTTTCATTTTTTCTGTTCCAATTTCTGATTTTTTTTTTTAATTTTTCCAATTCAATTTCAGAGTAATTCCCTCTTTCCCTCACACGGTCACAGGGAATCCACCTCTCCACCCACTCCGGTTCCTGTCTTTTCGCTGGTCCCTCCCCCCCGTATTATAAAGTCCCATTCCCTCTCTCCCAACCCACCCTTTCCTTTTCTCTCTTTTTCCTTTTCATAGGATTATTCCGTCTCGTTCGGTACCTAGTCATTGAAGTGTTTGTCTTCCTGGCTTGTGAGCCGCAACAACTACAACAATGGCGACAAACGTGACAAGCTCGAGCGAGCGGAGGATCTCCTATGCTGTTGATGTCGAGAATGGCGAGCGCCACACCAAGGAGACTACTGAGGCCGGTGAGGGAGGTCCTACTCTCGATGAGTACTCTGCCCTGAACCGCTACATCTCCACTGCTCGCGATGGTCGCCGTGGTTCTACCTCCTCTGCCGGTGCTCTCAGCGCTGCTGGCGAGAAGAAGAAGCCCTTCTGGAAGTTCTGGGCCAAGCAGGGTGATGGTGTTGAGGAGGGCTGGCAGGCCCCCGAGGAGTGGCTCGAGACTGACCTCCGCGCTGGTCTCTCCTCCTCTGATATCGACCCCCGCCGCAAGAAGTGTGGCTGGAACGAGCTGGTGACTGAGAAGACCAACATCTTCATTCAGTTCATTGGTTACTTCCGTGGACCCATTCTCTATGGTGAGTATTTCGAAATCATGCATAGCATCAAGTGACAGCTTTCAACGCGTTCAATGCCTTTCTAACGCGTCATTTTCTTTCTCTAGTTATGGAACTCGCTGTCCTACTCGCCGCTGGTCTGCGTGACTGGATCGATCTTGGTGTCATCTGTGGTATTCTGCTTCTCAACGCCTTGGTCGGTTGGTACCAGGAGAAGCAGGCTGCCGATGTTGTTGCTTCGCTGAAGGGTGATATCGCTATGCGTGCTATTGTTATCCGCAACGGTCAAGAGGAGGAGATCCTCGCCCGTGAACTGGTTACTGGTGATATTGTCATCATTGAGGAGGGCACCGTCGTCCCCGCTGATGTTCGCCTGATCTGTGACTACGAGAAGCCCGAGAACTTCGAGACCTACAAGGAGTACCTCGCTACCGCCAACGACGACACTCTCAAGGAGAAGGAGGACGATGATGATGATGAGCGTGACGAGACCCACATTGGTGTCTCCCTCATTGCTTGCGATCAGTCCGCCATCACTGGTGAGTCTCTCGCCGTCGACAAGTACATGGCCGATGTCTGCTACTACACCACCGGTTGCAAGCGTGGCAAGGCCTACGGTATCGTCACTGCCACTGCCCGCCAGTCTTTCGTCGGTAAGACCGCTGCTCTTGTTCAGGGTGCCAAGGACTCTGGTCACTTCAAGGCTGTCATGGACAACATTGGTACCTCCCTGCTCGTTCTCGTCATGTTCTGGATTCTCGCCGCCTGGATTGGTGGTTTCTTCCGTCACTTGAAGATCGCTACCCCCGAGTCTTCCGACAACAACCTGCTCCACTACACTCTGATTCTGCTCATTATCGGTGTCCCCGTCGGTCTGCCTGTCGTTACCACCACTACCCTCGCCGTCGGTGCCGCCTACCTCGCCGAGCAGAAGGCTATTGTCCAGAAGCTCACTGCCATTGAGTCCCTCGCTGGTGTCGATATTCTGTGCTCTGACAAGACCGGTACCCTGACCGCCAACCAGCTGTCCATCCGTGAGCCCTACGTCGCTGAGGGTGTTGATGTCAACTGGATGATGGCCGTTGCTGCTATTGCCTCTTCCCACAACGTCAAGAACCTGGACCCCATTGACAAGGTCACCATCCTTACTCTCCGCCGTTACCCCAAGGCTCGTGAGATCCTGGCCCGCAACTGGATCACCGAGAAGTACACTCCTTTCGACCCTGTCTCCAAGCGCATTACTACCATCTGTACCTGCGACGGTGTCCGCTACATCTGTGCCAAGGGTGCTCCCAAGGCTATCCTCAACATGTCCGAGTGCTCTCAGGAGGAGGCTCAGCTCTACCGTGACAAGGCTACTGAGTTCGCTCGCCGTGGTTTCCGTTCCCTGGGTGTTGCCGTCATGAAGGAGGGCGAGCCCTGGCAGCTTCTGGGCATGTACCCCATGTTCGATCCCCCCCCGTGAGGACACTGCCCACACCATCGCTGAGGCTCAGGTTCTGGGTCTGTCCGTCAAGATGCTTACTGGTGACGCCATCGCTATTGCCAAGGAGACCTGCAAGATGCTTGCTCTCGGTACCAAGGTTTACGACTCTGAGCGTCTGATTCACGGTGGTCTCGCCGGCTCTGCCCAGCACGAGCTTGTTGAGAAGGCTGATGGTTTCGCTGAGGTTTTCCCCGAGCACAAGTACCAGGTCGTCGAGATGCTGCAACAGCGTGGTCACTTGACTGCCATGACTGGTGACGGTGTTAACGATGCTCCCTCCCTGAAGAAGGCTGACTGTGGTATCGCTGTCGAGGGTTCCACTGAGGCTGCCCAGGCTGCCGCCGATATTGTTTTCCTTGCCCCCGGTCTGTCCACCATCGTCGATGCTATCAAGCTGGCCCGTCAAATTTTCCAGCGTATGAAGGCCTACATCCAGTACCGTATCGCTCTGTGCCTGCACCTTGAGATCTACCTGGTTACCTCCATGATCATCATTGACGAGACCGTTGACTCTTCCCTCATCGTCTTCATCGCCCTGTTCGCCGATCTTGCCACCATTGCCGTCGCTTACGATAACGCTCACTTCGAGGCCCGCCCCGTCGAGTGGCAGCTGCCTAAGATCTGGGTTATCTCTATCGTTCTTGGAATCTTGCTCGCTGCCGCCACCTGGATCATCCGTGGCACTCTCTTCCTTGAGAACGGTGGTATCATCCAGAACTTCGGCTCTCCCCAGGAGATTCTCTTCCTTGAGATTGCCCTGACTGAGAACTGGCTGATCTTCGTTACCCGTGGTGGTAAGACCTGGCCCTCGTGGCAGTTGGTCATTGCCATCTTCATCGTCGATGTCCTGGCTACCCTCTTCTGTGTCTTCGGCTGGTTGGCTCCCGACTGGAAGGACACCCACCCTCTGACCCCGCTGGCCCTACCTTCTCCGTCAACAACGATGTCGACATTGTCACTGTTGTTGTCATCTGGGCCTACTCCATTGGTGTCACCGTCATCATTGCCGTTGTCTACTACATCCTGACCATCATTCCCGCTCTGGACAACCTTGGCCGCAAGACCCGCTCCAAGGCCGACACCCAGATCGAGAACATGATCGCTCACCTCTCCAAGCTGGCCATTGAGCACGAGCACTCCTCCGACGGCAAGTCTCGTTACACTCTGGGTGCCCGCGCCGAGGAGATCGAGGAGGACGAGTAAGCGCTTCGCTTCCTTTCTTGGGGAAAAAAGCCTTGCTTTAATCTAAATCTTTCCTTTTCTGAACTCGATACTGGTCCGAGATCACAATTAATTTCCTAAATTTTACTTTTGTCTACAAACACCCCCCTTGCTACAACATACCACGCAAATCTTCGTTTGCTTGCCATTTATCCTGGACATGCATACCGTGGGAAAAAAGAAGGCCGGATACCCCGTTCTTTTCTTTCTTTCCTTTCGACCCCCGTATTATAGACTTTTGTGTGTTCCATTTACCCCTTGGTTCTCTTTTTGCTTGTCGCTTTCGAGTTGCTAGAGTTCTAAGTTTTCTTTCTCTACGTGTATGTATGTCGTTAATAGTGGTACTTGTCAATGAGAAGGGATTCTAATGGCCATCTGTTCTTGTAAATGTAATCTCAATCATCTAAAGCCTTTCTGTAGTTCATCCAAAGCCTTCTGTTTAATCCAACCCTGATGCATCTTAATTAACTTCGGATGAGTTCTCATTAAATGCACCCCCGGGTCTTTACCTTTCATCATTTTCACCCGCCTTCACCTATCCCTGCACCCCACACGTCTTCTAACAGGTGGACGCCTAATTCTCCGCCCCCCAAATCGAACGACCAATTTCCCGACGAGATTTTCCACCATGCGGGGGAAGCACTAAGCTTCTTGCTTCCCCATTTTCGCGGGGTGAATAGCGGAGATCTAACACAATTTCCAATCTACAAGGACTCCAACATGCCAATGCAATCTAAGCCTCGGGCCTAAAACCCATTATGGGACCTAGTCTCGCTTGACAATGACGAGAAAGATTTTCCGTCTACCGCATTGAGTAGAAGTGGAAGTTAAAAGTTAAAGCCATGTCTACGCAAGCCAGGCACAAGCAGAGAAGGGAAATAAAGAGGAACTTTCTATAAAGTCCTCCGAAGCAGACTGTCAACATCAACAATCCCCATAATTTGAACCATCTCCCAAGATCATACACCCATAAACATACCCCCAGGGGATCTTCGCTCAAAGATGCTCGGCCTTTCTCTCCTCCCTCTCCTCCCTCTGCTCTTACAAACATCCCCAACAACCGCCGCAGCTCTCACCTACTCAACCCGAGAAAAATGTCAAAGCAGCGGCGGAACCCACTGCCCTAAAGGAACAATAATAGTCGGCAACAGCAGCATTGCAGACTTCCCCACGGTCCAAGAAGCAATCACCTCCCTGCCGGACAACAACAACCCCGCAACAATCCTTCTACTCGCAGGCACCTACGAAGAACAAGTGAACATCACCCGGGCCGGGCCTATAACTTTGCTAGGGCAGACCACTTCTCCGAAAGATGCCTCCCGCAACCGTGTGACGTTGACCTGGGCGGCCGCAAATAAGGATTCAACGGGTCAATCTGTGGATAATGTTTACTCGAGCGTGATGGTCGTTGCGCCGACGCTGGATGCTAGTATTACGGGCTCTGGAACGACGGGTTTCGCTGTGCCGGATGATACGCCGTTTGGGAATAAGGATTTCAGGGTTTATAATGTTGATTTTAGGAATACTTGGGCGGAGTATTCGGATGGACCGGCTCATGCTATTAGTTTTAGTCGGGCTAATGGGGGTTTCTATTATTGTGGATTTTATTCTTATCAGGATACGGTATGTTCAAGTCTTTCTACTTTCCCTCCTGGGGCTTACGCCCAGATTTGGCGAGCCCAGTCAGTTCTGGACTATGACTATTTCTCTCCTCTGCCCATTCGACAGGGTGGACATTGGAAAGAACAAACTTGAACTTCCCCAGTCAGAACGGAATCCTAGGATGGAATGGAGACACCTACGACTGACACTGTGACACATATACAGGTCTACATCGGCAAACTAGGAAACGCCTACTTCTACAAATCAATCCTAGCCGGCCAAACCGATTTCCTCTACGGGTTCGGCACAGCCTGGATCCAATCAAGCGAGATCCAACTCCGCGGCTGCGGCGGCGGAATAACAGCCTGGAAAGGCACGAACACGACCTTCGAAAACAAATACGGCATCTACATCGCAGACTCAACTCTGAAAGCGGCGAATTCTTCCATCGCCCCGTCGATCAAGGGCGAATGTGCGCTGGGTCGGCCGTGGAATTCGCAGCATCGGTCTATCTTTGCGCGCTCGTATGAAGATGGAAGTATTGATCCTAGTGGGTATATTGATTGGGTTGTTAGTGGTGTTGCGCGGTATGAGAATGGAACTACACTCATGGCGGAGTATAAGGCTTATGGTCCGGGATTTAATGAGACTGGGAGAGTGGAGGGGGGTGTTACGACTGTTCTTAAGGAGAAGGAATGGGAACCGTATAGTGAGCCGGCCAAGGTTTTTCAAAACCAGGAGGGTGTTTTTGGGGATGTCAAGTGGATTGATTGGGAGGTTGTGCGATCTAAGTAGGAGATAGGAACCCTGCAAAGTAAATTCAAGCACTGGCGAAGCAAAGGGTATTATGGGATACGGTGGAAGAAGTGGTCTGTTTGCAGCGAGACTGTTTGTCCGCATGGTGACATTTCGATAAATGAAACAATCAAATGGCGGAGATATGGGCCATGGAGTATCTGAGACAAGAGATGTTAAATGTACAAAGAGTAAACTCGCTTCGAGCGTGGACAAAATAAGATAAATGAATACAAAAGGAAACATTCACCCAATGAAACAGCAGAGCGGCGGTGGCCGTAGTAATGCAAAATTGAGATAGAACGACAGTCAGAACGAGATAGGGTATCCGCTATGATATTGAAACAAGTTCGCTTCGCTGAATCACGGGGATATCAATGCTAATAATGCATCGGCGTCCACTCCTGTCCTGGATACGCCGTGGGAGACATGATAATCTCCTCGCTCGAGTCGTCTCGAGTAAGGGCCAGCTCAACCGGCTCAGCTGTCTCATTGAGAGTACGCGCCTCGCGCTCGCGGGTGGGGTGCGAGAAAGTGGTGGACGTGCCGGAGACGACGATATTTTTGGGTTCGTTAGTTTTTGGGTTGAAGGTAGTGGATTCGAAGTCAGATCTAGTGGATTTGCGAGATCCCACGCTGAGACTGGGAGCTAGATTTGACGCGGGGGTCTGCTTTTGTTCGTGCTCCGGTTCTGGTGCTTGGGCTAGGGTGTGTATTCGGTGTGCCTTTACATCTTCCTTAGTGCGGTCCAGTTCAGACACTGGAGACTTTGGCGGTACTGGAGGTGACGACTCCAACTCTGGCGATTTCTCTTCAAGTTCATCTAGAGAAGCTGATTTGGGGGAACTGCTATTTTCTGATATCGATGGGGCCACTGGAGAGAGAGGGTGGCTCATCATAAAAGGCTGACTCTGGGACCGAGTATGCTGAGGAGTATTCTGGGTTTCTCCAGACATAAGCTGAGAATAAAATCGATTGCCACCCAGGGGATTCGATGATGTGGTGGGTGGGCCAGAAATGCTCGCGCGTGGACGATCGAGTGATGAACGTGCCGTGCCTCTTCCATTCTCATGGGTCGGTAGCACTGGGAGGGCCTTATCCATAGAGCGGCGGTTGTTCAACGAGTGTCCATTCGGCTCTGCAGAGATACGATGGTTATCCCAATTCAAGGGCGGCGTGGGTAGATCCTTCACGTCAAGAGGATCTTGAATCGTTTCCCTGCGTTCCTGGGGCTGGCTGGGTGGCTGCTGGGTCTCTTGTTGACGACCGAAAAAACCGCTGATGCGACTGAAGCCGCGTTTCTTTTGAGGTTGTTCTTGATTTCCCTGGATACCTCCCTGAAGCTCGCCTTGGATACCAGTCAGGAGGTTACCGACCGAAGCTCGACGTCGCCGCCCAAAACTCTTCAACTTCTCCATCTTTGAATCACCGTTTTGCGCAGCGGAGCCTGATGAATCCTGCTGTGACAAATCATTGCCCGGCGTGTTCGGACGAGTTCCTCCTTTGCTGTTACTGGTACTTTGGCGACCGAAGCTGCCGAAGCTTAACATGCTGCTACGGGTTCCGGGTGAATACCTCACTTCGTTCCTCAGCGGACTTTGTACGCCGGGCGTAGATGGTGGAAGTCCACTGATTGATCTGCGCTTGGACTCGAGGACTTCCTGCGGGCTGGGGGGGCCTTGGTGGATAAGGGGCGAATCCTGGAAGCGAAGACTCGCCTGGTTGAAGGGAAGTTTGGGAAATGTTGCTTGGTGGAATGGGCTTGCCATAGATGTGGTCTTCAGGGCGAGGGTCAATGATGTCCTCAGTAGCTGCGTGAATAGGCGAAGGTGGAGTGCTGTCATCTTCAGAGGAGGAGTGAGCTCCAGACTTATTTTCATCCCCGAGTGTCGAGACAGATGGTTGGCGTGGAGTATGGCTTGGTTGTGGAGGTGCTAGACTCTCTTCAGGCTTCTGATGGTATCGATGTTCAAAAAGGCCGGATTCGGGTGTGAAATTCTTTGGCGGCACAGGTGGCAAGTCAATCGACTCGGGTTCTTCAATTGGAGAGTCCTTTGGTGGAGCTGGAGGTTTTGTATCCTCTTCAGGCACGGCACGAATTGAGGGAATAGTGGTGTGAGACGCTTCTACTCCAGATTGACTTGGCAGATCTGCTGCTTCGGATGAAGCAGAGTCATCGGTGCGTTCAGCAGGTGGGATCGAGAGGTCCTTCTCGGGATCTGGTATATCCCCCAAGGGTAAAGATGCGAGGTACGCATTGGCATCGGTGACATCGGCTGCATCGGCTGCATCGGCCGAGATCATCGGTTCTTCCCTCGACGAGAGCTGTAGATTATCAGTCTCCTTTGAAGCTTCGATAGCTTCGATAGCTTCGATAGCAGGTTCAGTGGGCCGAGTAGGTTGGATAGGCCTCACAAATTGCGAAGATTTAGTAGGCTCGGCAATGGTTTGTTGCTTAGACTGTTGAGCACGGGTTTCTGTTGGTGAAAGTCCCAACGCAGCATTCATCTCCTTCTCAAAATCATTCATGTACTGCGATGCTTCAGGCTTAGCTTCATTGCCCTCATTGCCCTTCTGGCTTAACCCAAAGAAATCCAAAGACCCTCTGGACTTGATGCGTTTACCCTCGCGTTCACGTTCATCCTGTGAATCTTCTATGGAGGCAGGGTCCTTTGCATCGGGAGCAGAACCGTCACTGCGCCCGAATTTGAAGACAGGTAGACTGTTGAAATTGAGAGAGCTGCGTCGGGGTGTTTTACCAGAGTAGCCAGTGGAGTTGGCCGACTCGGACTGGAAAGAGAATTGAAACTGCAAGCTTTTGCGTGCAGACGGCGATTGTCCCTACAACATTACCAACATCAGAAGTAGTTCGAGAATGAATGGGAGTGGGCGAAGAAGAAGAGAAGATGCATCAATCGTGTCGCATTCTAAGATCCAATGCCAAAGCGATGGGATATTACATCGTGGTATCGATAAGAGATGATGATGAGAGAAACAAATGAAGCACAGCGAGAGACCTGCTGCCCTGCGCTAATTCCAGAGCGCATTGTCCAAAAGAGATAGGGCCCCCACAACTGAAAAAAAGAGAAAAAGGATTATGTATCTACCTTGTCGTTTCCACCTTGTCGGAACTTGCTTCTTCCCTTAGCGAACAGGCCCTTGGCCGCCTCGCCGGCCTTTCCACCAAATTTGCCTGCCGTGTGCAAGAACTCCTTTCCATGCTGCTCGACATTTTGCCTGTTCACAATGGTTCCAATATGGCCAGAGGGACGCCGTATGTGACTGGTATTGGTAGGAGTACCGTCCTCCCGAGGCGTCGCAGATAAATTACCAAGGGACGTCAGCTTGGGGAATCGACGAGTGGTAGGAGAGGCCTTGGGGAAAGCGGAGGATAGAGTCTGGCTTTCCTGAATAAGATGGGCATGTTGCGGCTGGTCATGGAGCGTAACTTGAAGCCAGTGATTCAAACCAGTGTCAAGAGTTGCAAATTGGGTTCTTGTCTCCTCAAAGGCTCGCACACGCGCTGCTGGAGTGGAAATTTGAAGGATATCGCGGAAGCCCTGAAGTTTAGTCTCATCAACCTTCGAGGACCCAGTATAGTCGGGCAGTGACAGATCTAGTTGAGATCCCTCCAGGGGTGGAATGACTTGCTCGGGCGGAGTGGGATTTTGAGATACTGGGGGAACAATGGAGAGTCTAGGCCTCTCTGCCTTCTGACTTTCAGCGCCAGAAACTTCCCCATCAGTCACCCCTTGAGATGAAAGATTGAGTTCTTCGTGGTCGGGAATGGGATCCGGTGCTTGTGGCGCCAAACCATCAGGCGAATCGTAGTTAACAGGAGGAGGTCCGCCTGAAGAGGCTGATTCCCACGAGAATCGTCTGCCCAATTTTGGCTTCTTGGGTTCGGCTGAAACAGGCTGCGGCTCCTGTGAAGGGGCCGCATAAGGATCCCGAGGAGCCATAGGGTGAGAGCTTGCCCAGTCCGGATGAGACTCGGAGACGAGTTCCTTTTGGGATCCATCGCCTGGACCTGTCTGCCCATCCCAATACTTTTCATACTGGTGCGGGATGGAAGCATCTTGAGTTGCTTCTGGCTGAGACGGCCGAGGTTGTTCTTCCGGTTCCTGGGAGTTTTCTCTGCTCAACGAACGCATTATCTCTTCTCGAAGTCGGTCGTTATCGGCCTCGTTAGGGGAGGTATTAGCGCCAACGATAGCGGGAATACTGCCCCGATAGCCTTCCGACCCCGACGTGCCGGCACTGCCAAATTTGAGAGGCGCAACAAAATCGCCATCAGGAGCATTCGGAGGAGGGATTGTGGGCGCGGCAGTGGTGTCGACAGATCGCTCAGGTGATCTGTTCTTTTGCCCTGGGGATACTGAGGTAAACTCCGCTCGACCAGCCGAAGGAGTATCATGGTCGGTAACTACGGGACGCTTGGAGGGACTGTTATCTCGCTCTGGAAGACTGATGTCACGCCGATGGCCAGGCTTGAAAAATGGCGCTTCGGCCGCCTCCTGTGTAGCGCCCGTCGGAGTGCTGGCATCGGCAGGCTCTTCGGGATCGTGGGGGTCTTGTCATCGGTGGGTACGCGGTGGCTCATGATAGGGCTAATCACAGATGTGCCATCGCTGTTGGAACGGGTCACACTGTCTGTGGTGGAGTTTGGAGTTTCAGGGACATCAAAAGCTTGGTGGACCACTGATCGGAATCCCTGTGAGGTCTCAGAGGCTTGCGAGGGGTTGTGGCGCAGAGAGTTCTGATCGGAGCTCGGATTTTGCTGGTTAGAGTCAGTTCCAGTGAAGAAATCAGATCCGAAGCCAGAGAAGCGCTTGACCTCAGGTAGCCCCAAGGGCGGATTTTGAGTTATATTCGGAGTATGAGCTCCAAGCGGTGCTGGCTCAACGCTTTGCAGCCCGAAGCCCGCTGGCCCTTGTTGAGTGGATGGCTCATCCGATGCGCGTCTGTAAATGTCGGCCGGCCTGACAAATGGCAGATTCTTCTGATCACCTCCAGTCGGCGTTGCCGCAGCTGGACTGGCTCGCGATTCTTCGCCACCATATCCAAGCCCCGATGGACGCCTGGAGCTCAACTCTGACGAGCTAGTGGTTCTATGTGTTGCATATGGGGGCCGAGGTACAGCAGGGGGTTGCTCTTCCTCCTCCTCCTCCTCCTCCTCGTCTTCAGATCCCCAGTCTCCACCGTCGTAGGAGGGCTGCTTTGCTTGCGCCCAACGCTTTGTCTTTGCGCGATTCACATTGGGTCGAAAAGAAACGGGGGTATTTCCAGCACTAGCGGGCGAGAGTGGGCTGTTGGCATTCGGCGGGGAGGGGCTGTTGGGATTGTTTAGAGCCTGGGCAACGAGAGGGGAAGCAGCGATCAAGTCATGGAGGAGTTATACTCACTTCTTTGGCCCTGGACGGCCTCGCCACGGGGCATTAGGGTCCGCCATAGGAGGAATGACGTTAGGTCGAACTTGTCGGGGTCTACCGCATCGATGATTGCCTTATTGACTTGTCGAATGGGAATGCAAATGCAGAAGCAAATGAAAGCCGAGGAGTGATATGCAAGCTAGTGAGATAGTTGACTAGCGGGTGCTCAGTTGTAGCAGAAAGGAATGAATGAGATATTTGAGGGGAGGGCGAGGTGGCGTGAGCGGCGTTGGGCGACAGTGCTAATGCGGGCGCCGATCAAATGGAATCGACTAGGTGAGGAGGGCGGGAAATAGGAGATGGGAAATTGGAAATTGGCACAGGAAATGTGCAGCCAGAATGCCCGATGTGTATGTACACGAGTGACCCGAACAGTCCTGAGTTGACAAGAGTAAATAGTACAAGAGTCTCGTATGTCGTTGTACTGTAGTTGTAGAAGTCAAGGAAGTACGATCCCCTGATTGTGGAGATGGCTGACGTAATGTGGCTGCCTGCGGCTAATTTTAGTTGAGGGGACTGCTGACTCAGCAGGTGGCGCAGTGGTCACGTGGCGATCACCGTTGTCGCGCGGCGAAAACGGAAACGGAAACGGCTTCTCCCCTGGATGAATTCACTACAGTACGAGTGAAAGAACGAAAGAACGACGAATCTCAGGTTGATCCCGGGTTACTGCTATTGATTACATCCTGCTCAGTGTCGCGACTGTTGATCTCCACTCCACTCCACTCTATCGTCGATACTAGTCGCATCACGCCCTGAAACACCGAGTCCACTCTTGACGCCCCTCCTCCGCTCAATCCCCCGAGGCGACAACATTCACTCCATCCCATTCATTCGCCTCGGTCGCACATCACACAATGACGGGTCCATCCATTCAAGATCGCACGAGCGAGTTCAGCTCCATTCTGGGTCAAGCCCAAAGGCGCCTGGGTACTTCAAAGGTCGGATCTCAGCGCCAGGCGTTGTTGACCGATGCCCAGCGACAACAGGCAAATGGCTCACCATCGGGGCTCACGAATACAAAGGCATCCAGATCGGAGTTTGCGCGTCGGGCGAGAGATATTGGAAAGGGAATCACTGGAACAACCGCGAAGTTGCAAAGACTGGCAGAATGTGAGTATCGCGGGTGTCCTATCGAGAGTGTCCTACCGAGAGAATGGACCGGGCCATCCTTTGTTCAGACGATGATCTAATTTTTGAATCTAGTGGCCAAACGAAAAACCCTCTTTGATGACCGACCCGTCGAGATCTCCGAATTGACGTATGTGATCAAGCAAGACCTGGCGGCGTTGAACCAGAACATCGCTTCCCTGGCATCATTCACCCAATCGCAACATCCCAAAGCAACCCGCTCTAAGATGGATCAAGAAGGAGAGCACAATGATAACGTGAGTGATACCCCAATCTGGTCGGAAATAAGAGCTCTACTAAATGAGTTCGTTTCATAGGTGGTTGTGATGCTGCAAGGAAAACTGGCCGATGTAGGAGCCAACTTCAAGGAAGTGCTGGAGGTGCGCACGAAAAACATCCAAGCATCTCGCTCTCGAACCGAGAACTTCGTTTCCTCTGTATCATCGAAATCACAAAACGCCCTTGACTCGCAACGGTCCGATTCCCCTCTATACAACCCTTCCGGGAGACGGACACCCCAGCCAGGCTATCAAGGAAACTCCTCTGACCTCTTGACTCTCGACCCCTCCAACCCCTCTCCTCTGGGACGCCCCTCAATGCAATCTGATCAACAACTCTTGGTTATGGAGGAAGCCCAATCCAACAATACATATATCCATGCCCGCGGTGAAGCCATTGACGCCATTGAACGAACTATTAGTGAATTGGGCGGTATCTTCGGTCAGCTGGCCACTATGGTCAGCGAACAGTCCGAAATGATTCAACGTATCGATGCCAATACGGATGACGTGGTGGATAATGTGCAAGGAGCTCAGCGAGAATTGATGAAGTATTGGACCCGCGTGTCCGGTAACCGATGGCTCATCGCCAAAATGTTTGGCGTTCTGATGGTATGTGTCGCCACCACTTTGGCAACGTGGACATGAGTACTAATGCCCATTTTTCTAGATCTTCTTCCTTCTTTGGGTGTTGATTTCGGGATAGACCCGATTTTTGACCGCCCCATCTTCGTTATTGTATTATAATACCTGATCGTGTGTTTCGCACCACCGATCTTGCTGCATTTCCCGCGCCCATCGAGCATTACTAGCTTTGCTTTTGGTCCCTTTGACTAGACTCTGGGTCGCTCCATTCGCTAACCTTTTTCTTTTTCCTCATCTCTACTGGGACTGTGTCCCGAAGACGACCTATCCGAGTAAATACTCCATGTACTAATCAAACAATCATGATACAATTTCATATTCTCATGGTTTTCATTCTTAATATAATAGTTTTCTTGTAAAAATCACTAAGAACTCAACAGTGATATTCCGTCCCAGAGTTCGGACTCTGCCCACCCAAGAGATGGTTGGTTGTCAAATAGCTCCCACATAAGCCTATCATCCCACCCTTCCATGGGCTGTGGTATCCCGGAAGCAGAAGCTCTGCTAGTGATGGGACTCGGAAGAGTATCCATGATTCGATCACCGCGGCCAAACATCGTTACATTCGAGGGATCATTCGGAAGAGAAGAGATCGTTGCACCCGAAGAAGGAAGTCCGGTATTTACTTTTATAAGCGGAGTACACAGATCCAGAAATTTGGAAAATAAGCCGTATAGTTTCCCAATTGGGGCATTTGCTTTGGCAAATTGCCGCAGATCATCGGTGATCTTTTTGATCATCTCGAAGTCCCTTTGATCCGATGTTGCAACGACGTTGCAAAATAGCACGAAGAAAGGGGACAGCGGGTATAGTAGCATCGTCCTGGAGCTGTCAGCTTTGTTCGCATGTGCAAGGTAAGGTGAACTGTGTACCAGGTGAGAAATGAAGGATAGGAATCGACAGAAGTAGCATGGCCCGCGAAGGCCTCTTGCAATGCCCGAAGAGTAGTCAGTGCTTTTCGAGCCGTGAATAGACACTCCTCGCAGACCAGGCGAGACTTGAGTACTGATGATCGTGCACGAATGATCGTCGTCAAAACAGAGTAGTAGTTGAAATCCATTGAGAGCCATTCACGCTGAATAGTTCCCCAGGATGCAGAGAATCTTTGTTCCTGACGGCTCCGATGCTAGGTCGCGTTAGTTTACCTTGTCTGTTGCGGTTCAGAACTATACTAGCATGTTTGTCTGATCTTACAATTTCCAGGTCCGAGTGGACCGCGTGTGCCCGCGCCACGAGATTAGACAAAACATTTGCCTTATCCATATCTCCCATTTTCTTGGAATCCAGAAGAATGTTTACCAGCGTGCTCTTGATATGTGCGAACTCGACAATTCCTCTGATGATGGGCGTTGTCGGTAGATCAGGGTCCAAGTGGATTAATTGTGTCGGATCAACCTTGAGATCTGGTAGAGATGGTGGTCGTAGAAGGAGCACACTAAGAGTTTTGTCGAAGTAGTAGCATGTATATAAACATGCGTGGATTTCTTCTTCGATATCATTGTGTGGCACGGGATCCGTGATATTGTGGTAATTGAGTGCGACGATGATTCTCGATGCGAGGGCATTGAACATCCAAGATCGTGACATATTGCCCAAGTATTGCATGAGGCGTTTCTAAGATAGTCAGTCCGAGGGAGGGGTATAATGAGAAAAGAGTGCTGCTTACACCTGATAGCAATGCTTGAAGCAAGGGAAGGCTTGGTACGGCAGTGAGAGAGATCGAATCCAACTCTTCATTGGCGGCCGCCTCATATTGTTTCTTGAGTGCTCTGAAATGAACTCTTAGTGGCGCACTTGAGATCAACGGAGCCATTTTGGAAATGCAAGAAAGCGCTTTAACCCATACGCTGATCCGGTAAAGATGCAGTACTTGTTCGCTTTCGCTGCGTTCGATAATTGCAAGACCCATTCGCTCTAGTGTCTTGTCTGTTATGTGGTCTGGCCACACATAAGTGCCTTGCGAGTTTGTTTTCTTGTCAGGTCCTAAATCGATTAGAACTTGAACGACCTCATACTAATTGTACCTTCCTGGTCGACCTACCTGGCAACATCATATACAATAACTCGGGCGTGAGAACAGGAGGTCCCAGATCGTCGCCAACTTCCAAGTGCTCTGTCGCACTTGATTTCTGTCCGTGAATTCCGGGGTTTGAGAGCTGGCCGACAAATCTTTGGGCCAGCTTGAGAGTCGTCCGCCTGTCTTGGGAAAGAGTTGGATTACATTGAAGCTCATGCTCAATGAACTCACGAGCTTCGCTGGCATGCCGCGTTGCATCAGGAGAATGTCGTCCGTTGTGAGACTTTGAATCGATATTAAGAGACATCTTCCGCTTCAAATCTGGTTGGCCAGAGGTGCTTGATTCATGGGCTGTTGACGTTTGATGTTTTCGTTTTGCTGCAACTCGAGTTGGATCAATGGGCCTCCCCCGTGGAGGAGATGTACTAGTCAGACTTATATCGTCATTTTCTGGCGGAGAAGAAAACATCGAACTGTCTTCGCTTGTCCTTTCGAGCTTTGCCAGTCTTTCCGTTATAGCATCGAGGCTTTCACCTTATTAGTTACACATTAGTTGGAAAGTCATGGATATAGACCGTACCGGGAGACTCGAGGCCGGTGAAATCTTGCCTGGCGACTTCGAAGGCATTCAGCCCGCGCGTCTACGCAGTTAAGACAGGGGTCTTCGCGATCGCATTTGACCTTGACAATCGGCGATGCCAGGTTAGTGCCTTCGCGGCCAATTAGAGAGGATTTGTATAGGACGCCCATACCTTTCTAGAATGACACATATCGCACTTTTCCTCTGTCAGCAATGGAATCATTCTGCCTTGCCTTTCCAAGCAAAGCAACTTTATGCCTTCATGCACCGAGTGACTTACTGCCGCTAGTGTTGCCATTTCTGCGGTGGCAGCTTTGAGAGCCGTGCCAAGGTGACCCACAAGTGTTAATCTGTTGCTTTCCTAGAGGT